CCAGCCCAGCATTCACAGGGACCGGGGGGGGGGGGATGTTCCCCAGCATCAGGGATGGTGGGATGGAGGTCAGCGAGGGGCCACCCCGTGTAAGGGGACTCCTCGGAAGCTCCTGGGCTGCCTCTGAGCTAAACTGGGGGTTGCCCATTGGGGTCCGCTCCCAGCACCGGGAAAGTGCCACCATCCTCCCCATGGCGATGGGAATCACCTGGGGGACCCTGGGGGGGGGGGGGGGATGTTCCCCAGCATCAGGGATGGTGGGATGGAGGTCAGCGAGGGGCCACCCCGTGTAAGGGGACTCCTCGGAAGCTCCTGGGCTGCCTCTGAGCTAAACTGGGGGTTGCCCATTGGGGTCCGCTCCCAGCACCGGGAAAGTGCCACCATCCTCCCCATGGCGATGGGAATCACCTGGGGGACCCTGGGGACCCCACGCCCCACAGGGCTGTAAGTCCATGTAGGGGTCCCTGGGGGGTTTACTGAGCAGCCCAGCGGGGTCCCTCCACTGCCAGTACCCTCCAGCCCATTTCCATATTGCAGCCCCTCTATGGGACCCTCTCCTGGCCGGTCGCCCCGGGTGGTTCATTGGGGTGGCCCCGCAGCAGCAGTGCGAGGGGCCCCGTCCCCCCTGCATCTCATCAGCGGCCCTGTCCCCTGTGGCGCTGCCGGTGTGGTGCTCGGCGGCTCCGGTTACCGCGGGCTGGAGCGGGCGTGAGGGGGACGCAGGCGTCTTCGGCGGCGGGTGATGAATTACGGGGGGAAGTTTCCAGTGGTGGTGCTCAGCCCCACTAGACATTTACCTCATTAGCCGGGATGAGATCATGCAAGCTGGCCGCCCGTGTCACACACGATTAGTTGGATCGTTATGGCCCGCCTGGAGCGAGGGGCTCCCGCAGCACTCGGGGGACCCCCAGCCCCAGGGCTGCGGAGGGGTCACTGCCCCCAGCCACCCACTGCCCCATGCAGCCGTGGCAGCATCGTCATGACCCCCCATCCCGAGGAGAGCAGGGCCACAGGAGGGAAGAGCTTTACCCCTCGATGTTGCCCCCCAAATGCGGTGGCACCGCTGGGACCTGCCCAAAGGCTTCCTGCCCCTTTGCACAGCCCTCTGCCGCGGCAGCACCCAGCCTGGAGCAGAGCCTGCCCAGGCGGGTGCCGGTGCCAGCATCTCCACCATCTCCTATTCCAGCCGACTGCCGGCTCCAGGAGGAATGAAACCCCCCCAGCTGCGGGCATCCACCGACGCACCAGGCGGCATGGAAGGACCCTGACCGAGGTAGATGGGGAAAACCCCAAAACCGCCAAGCGTTGTGCACGGCATCGCGTGCTGCAGCCATCCACGCGTCCTGCCAAGTCATGACCACAGACCACCCCTGCTCCCCGCTCCCCACCATGTCCCCCCTCATTGCAGCGGGTCCGGGAGCTGCAAAAGGGCCACCTTGAGCCGGTCCCACTGAAGCAACACTCAGGACACCCGGGAAATGCCCTGTCTGGAGAGAGCGGGAAGCATGGAGCCATCACCCCGGGGAATCCTCAGGCAGCGAGGGCTGCTGACGGTGTCTGAAGGGAGGGCAGTAATCCACGTCAGGCCAAAACTCCTGCCAGAAAGGCAGCCGGTCTGGGCCGATGGTGTCAGGGGAGGTCGGATCCGTCACTCCAGGAGTCAAACACGGCGGCGTTGGAAACCTGATTTCCCAGGTTAAACTTGTCTGTCTTTAGCTTCCAGCTACCGGTTCCTGCTCTGACCTCCCAGCGCAGGCGTGAGCACTGCCTCCCTTGCGATACCCCGCGCAGACTGGGCAGTCCCTCACTGGGAAGTGTTACCCCCAGCGTGCAGTAATTTTGTTGGCTCCTACACTTTCTCCGTGTTTGTAACGACCTTCTCAAGTAACAGGATCGTTTCCAGCCACTGCATCGATCCTGAAGGCAGGGCAACGATGCTCCCTCGTCCTTCTCACCACGTGCCCGTGCAGAGCGGCTTGTGCGGCTGGCCCTGCCGTGTGCTCCGTCCCACGCCCAGACGTCCTCCACCCCGTGGGACTGTCCAGCTCCCCATCCCTGGCACCCCACTGACCGCACGGCTGCCATCACCGTGGCTCCCTCAGCGTCCCTGCACCCCTGGTCCGTCCATCGGTGTGACCACATGTGGAAATGCTGCGTAGCGCGGGCTGAGCCACGGTCCCCGCAGGGCACAGCTCCACGCGGACGCTGTCACCCAGCCCATTTTTAATTGCTTAGTTACGCCTGGGCTGCTGAAGGAAGTTGCGTTCCGCTCGTTGCCAGACACACGACTCCTGATCGAGCACTGCTGCGCGCTGCAGAAGTGGGCGTTGATCCTGCCACGCAGAGCTGAGGGGGTCCTCGCACGTCGCCCCTCTGCCACCACAGCGGTGAAGGGCGGCAGAGCCACGGGGTCAGGGTCGGGAGTGGGCCGGGACCCTCAGCCACAACGTGGGCTGAGCTCACGGCACCACAGACCTGCAAATCATGTGAGTTTGGGGAAAGGCACACACGGGTCTCGTCTCGAACGCCACATCCTCCTCTCAACGTAGTAATTCCCATCTCCTGGCACAGCTCTTGGTCCGGAAGATGAACCCAGCGTTGGCAGAGCAGATGTCCACAGGGGTGACAAGTTCGGTCGTGTGGGGTGGACAACCTTGGGGAAACAACTGACAAACCAAACCCAAAGGCAGAACTTGGAGAAAGTCGGAAGCGGAGCGACTTCAAGCGCTGACGGAGAGGAGGAGCAAGGGCAAACATCTGGCATAAATGGCAGGGAGGGAATGAGGGAGGTGGGTGTCCCGCGGAAAGGGGGGCTGGCCCAGCGGCTGCGGGAGTGGGAGGTGACCCCTCTCCCCATGGAGAAGTGGCAGTGGACCTGAACGCAGGACAGGCCACCACCATTCGGAGGGAACACCACCTCTGAGCAAGCCAAGCCAGGCCAGGCTGAGCTGGAGAGGGGGTCCAGTGCTAAATGTCCCCCACCCCATGGGATCGACACTGCTGTGAAGGGACATCCCTGCCCCGCAGCTCAAAGAGTAACGGCAGAGCGGGTCACCGTGACAGCCCTGGAGCAGGCAGCCCGTTCATGGGGACAGGAGATGCTCAACGGCACGAACAAGTAACCTGACTAAATCGGACATGATAGTGCACCAAGATACGCTGGCCCCATGACACATCATCGTGTCCCCTTCCCTGGATGAGACCCCGAGAAGTAGAGGGGTCAGAGCGACAACTCGGCCCCCAATCTGTTTTGGTGCCTCACTGACGAATGAGGGACAGCGGGGACTTCACCTACGAGCCGTGCTTGGGGCTCTGCACCGCCCACGCCAGGTCCCCGACGGTGCATTTCAGGGTGTGCGTGACACTTGTGGGACTCCAGCCCGCCTGTCCCCCCGGGCAGGCGGGGCGTTCCAGACGTGAGGCGCTGCATTTCAGACAAGGTCATGGTGACCGGCTGACCCAGCGTTGACTTCTTATCTCGTTGGGGAGGGCAGCAACCCGCGACGGATCTCGGCTAGACCGGCTCCCGGACGCTGCCGCCGCTGCCCTCGAAGACTGAGCCCACGCAGCAGAGGCGGCACTGCGGTGGGCACCGGCTTCTCCTGACGTCCGACCTGCATCAGTCCTCAGCTGGAGCACGGCTACGGTCGAACCCCAACGCCAAGAGGCCTCCGTGCCTTCGAGGTGACCAAGCAGCAGCACATGCGACCACCCCAGAGTGGAGGAGAGCGGGACGGAGGGAGGTTCGAATGCTCTGAACGCTACAACGAGGATTTTTTTATTGTTCTTAAAAAAAAAAAAAATGCACCCCTAAAGGTGTGCACAGCGTCCACCACACCCCCGGTGTGTCAGCGTGGGCCCCGCTGCAATCTCCTCCTCTGAAACATCCTGGAAAACTCAGCCCCGGAGCCCAGCCCGGGATTTAGGCAAGGGAGCCACAGCACGGGATTCAATTCAAACACACACACACACACACACGGTGTTGGCTGCCATGGGAGAAGCACGGTAACACCTCCCGCTCCCGCACGGCCGACGCCGGAGCAGGCACTGGGATCCTCGCCCCACAGCGCAGGGTGGCCAGGGGCATGAAAGGCAGTTCCTGAGCCTTCATCCCATCCGCTTCCCGAACAGATGACAAAAATAAAGCTTTCAACCATAGAAAAGCCACCAGGTGACAGACCATTTGTTTTATATATATTTGTATGTATATATATAGAGAGATATTTATATATATATAGATAGAATTGGGTTCTTCTTCTCTCATGTAAAAATTCAAAATACAGTTTTTACTATTAACAATCTGAAGTGTAAATGTACAAATTTTTACTGCTAAGCAAAAGGAAAACAAAACCAAAGGAACAAATAAAGAGAAACACACAGAGCAAGAGGAAATAAAAAAGAGAAGATAAAGCTGGGCTTCGGGGCGCCCCGGGGCACACGCACACACGGAGACCCTTGGGGATCAGACCGCAAGGCAGAGACCACAACGGGATCCAACCCACCGGCGCCAGATCGGCAAACTTTTATTTCTCTTTTAAAACCCAGCGCACCCGCCTCTCCGGGGGCAAGGAGGGAAGGGGACAGGGGTGGAGGGGGAACTCCCTTCCTCAGAAAAGCCACCCCGTCTGCACACCCGGCGAGCGCCCCGCTTCCCGGACGGGAGGAGCGCCCCACGGCCGTGC